AATGTATTTTCACACTGCACATTAAATTTTTTTTGGGAATTTTAAAATTTAATAACTTATATTTTTTTGAAAACTTTAAGAACTTTGGTCAATTTTTGTTTTATTTGTAAATTTAATCAAAAAAAATTTCATCCAATTAATAAGGTTTAAAAACTCAATATTAAGAACTTTTTTCCTTAAAATTATAAATTTGAATTAAGGGGATTGAAATTTGTAAAAACTACAATTTTTAGAAGAATTACCAATCTTATAGAAATCAGGTTAAAAAGAAATTAGTTATACATCCTTACTCCCCAAGATTGTTTTTTGTTAAGCAACTGCTAATAATTATTACAGATTTATATTCATAATTGATTCCTTGTCACTAATCAAACATGAAATTTTGCTGTAAAACTTTACAAGCGACTTTTTTCTTTAATTAATTAATAAACCCAATTATTGCTTACGTTCAAATACTAAATAGTGATGTTAACATAGAATTAATATTAATTAAATTCCATTTCAATTACAATATTATTCATTCAAATTTTTCGTTGAAATTATATTAATTATTTTTAAAATTTATAAAAACTGTAACTAATGTACTAAAAATACAAACATTTTATGTAAAAGAAAATATCAAATTTGCAACAGGTGTTTATATATTTTCAATTATAATTCAAATCACACCTGTATAAGTTTATATGCATATATACACGAATATCAACTTATATGTACATTTATGTGATTGTAATGTATGCACAAAGTGCTTGCAATATAGCAGAGAAATCACCAAAAGCAAAATCAAAATACAAACATTTTCTTGGAAAATTTTCAAAAGTGCAACATACGTAAATTCTTTTACATTAAGTCATAATACAAGACCTCTATTTTTTCGTAAAAATTTACGTACATGCTATGCAGATAAATATTTTTTGCTACCAATTTTCTTTTTATTACAAAGACAAATTGTAGCACATTAAGTATCAAACTATAAAGATTTACATATAAATTTGTTTAAATACATATTACTCATTTATGTATATAAAATAATTTTGACATTTGTACAACAATTAAATGAAGGATATTAAACATAATTTAAATATATCCTATAATATTCATTCTTCTTATTTTTCATAAAGATACTTACGCATTTCGACTGCACAAAAAAGAAATTGAGCAACTTTTTCAACATAAGAGTCGCCATCACTTCGTTCGGGTGCGGCTCAAGCAAAGTGCATGAAAAATCTATAATTTGCATTGGGAAAACATCACTACACGGAACTAATGTGCACATTTCAAGAGTAATGAACTCTTTAAAAAATAAGGCAATTTTCATACAAAAAATAAAGCAAAACTTACGACCTTTTTAAAAAAACAAGCCCTTAATATACTCTTTTAGCACTTTTAGCACTTTACTCCCTCAAAACCCTAAAAATGGGCATTTTTAACTATTTGCAGCAATGAAACCATAAGCATTTTTCAAATTTTGCAAACGCAGAAAGGCAGTGGCTTGCTTCTCCTATCGTGGCATACTATAGTATAGTTAAACAAAATGGACGTTCAAATTTACCGTTATCTAAAATTCGGTTTTTTTCCAAATTTTTGATGCCGTTTTTCTTCCAGACCCCATGTTGTAGGAGCCGGAAATTTAAGCAGCTTTTAGAATCTAAATTTCTCTTACTTTCTCTTATGTTTTAGTTGGATTATTTGATTTTTTATTCCATTTTCTAATTTAATAACAAAAAAAGGAAAAAAATTAAGGGATTTGGAAGGAATATAAATAAAGTTGGGTTAACATAAATCAATGGTTTGTATTGTAGCACTTTTCCCTGCTTTTAAATACAGTCTATGTATACCTATTCAGCTAAAAATTTCAGCTATCTATCTTCAAGGGTGTAGAAGTTTGTAAACATGTCCAGGGACGGACGGACGGACAGAGTAAAACTGATTAGCACTTTTTATAAAATTTTTTTTGGAAAAGTGCTAAGAAATGACATGATATTATAAAGAGTAAATATCAAATGTAAAGTATGTATACAATATTTTCTTTCATATTGTGATGTTTATATGTACATATATTTGATGCGTATAAAAGAGTACTCATCTAAAAGATTGTATGAAAGTGGCTTTGTTTTCTTTCATTCTTTCTTTAATAATATAAAATAGAAAAAGGATAAATATAAATAAAACAATAAAAAAATTCAAAATTTAATTACAGATAACAGGTATGAATTGTAAGACTGGTATATTACTTTTTGGAACACAAATTACTGAAAATGATGACGTTATCATTTTCATAATATTTAAAATTTTTTCAAGTTTTGTAAAGTAAAAGTTAGTGCTTTAAAAACTTTTAGCTGTGAAAAGATATGTTTTTCTTTTGTATTCACTGTCTATGTTTGATAAATATTTTGACATGATTTATAAAACTTTTATGAGTTTTTAGTTTTTTTCAAATTTTCTCAATTTAGATAAAAAGCAGACCTGCAAGAAATAATGATTCTGAGAAATACAGAATTTAATTTAGCTATTTTAAATAAGAATATTATATATTGGCAACTAATTGAAAAAAACTGAAATAAATACTAAATATATTACGATTTCCAATAACGTTTTATGGAATAAAACAGTTTGAGTCACTTCATTGATAACACTTCAACACAAAATGAAACATAGTTACTATAAATATTGCAAAAATTTATGCACCTACATACATAAGTATGTATATGTATATGTACATACAAAATTTGTTTTGAAAGCTACTCACAACCAAAATTACATTTTTTTTGTTTTAATTATATTTAATTATTATTTATTTTATGTAGAATATTTTTTTTTAAAAGCGTAATAAAAACCGAGAATTATTGTGTGTTTCACTTGTTTATTTTTCATACTTTTCTATTACCACCATTTAAACTTCTTCACCTATATGAGTGTTTAAATGTTTATTAATACTTATCCATATATGTATATATATATACGCATATGCATACAACACATTAATAAAACCGGCAAAAAAACAAAGAAAAATTGCAATTACAAAACAAAAGCAGATATGTATGTATAGGTTTACTTCGATTATTAATTATTTTAAAAGAAATTTCTTTTTTTAATTCCTACGCATATGTTTTCAAAGTCCTTTTAAAATCCAACACTTAAATGTTTTTTTTATACTTAAAACTTTTAATTAACTAAAACTAAAAACTTTTAATTTGTATAAAACATTAAAATATTTGTTTATGATATTATGGCATCGACTGCGATTTTAAACTTCACGACAGCAGCACTAAACAGTACTCTCTCTACTCTGACTTGCTCGTCTCATATACACGACAAAGTAGTATGATTTAAGTATGTATGTACACAACCATATATAACCAATTTAACTCCAAATCTGGATTTTAATTCCATTTTATATACAAAATCACAAAAAACATACTCCTGATTTTGCTTTTGACAACTCAACTTTAACTTTTTCTCTTTAAAAATAAATATGGACGTATTTCAAACTACTTCGTTCATTTTACTTTCGTTTTATTCTTCGTTCAATTTGGTTAATAAAATGAAGAAACGCTTTATTTCATTTTAATTCAACAATGGCAGGCATCACTATTTAAAGTGAAAACTTAAAAAAGAGATGTCGCAGGTCAGACTTTGAAATTTCGTATTATGCTAATAATTATAATAATTTATGTAAAAATAATGAATAAACACAACTTTTTAATCAATAATACAGTAGATGTCGCTGATTTGTAAACGAATATTATAGTTCATGTCTAAACTAAAAAACGCTTCAATACAGATGTCACTCCGTAATTTCGTGTTTGTTAGAAAACTTAATAACAAAGAGAGGGCGCTGATGATGTTAGAATGATGATTGAGCAGATTATAAAGGTCCATTGTATGCAAAAAAACACTTGTTCACGAAAAAAACAAAATCCATACATTCTCGTTGTATACACAACGAGAGGGAAACTTTAAAGCAAAACAACAAAATTATTTTGATATTTTAATGTTTGAGAAATTGGTTGACGGTCACTTTCCACAAAAATACCATTCAGTTGTTTAATTTTAATGGGCTGTTTCGTATTTTTGTGGGAATGGTCGTTTTGTGGAAACGGTATTTTTTAGGGACATTAAACTTAAATTTGATAACATTTTACATTTTTTATAATTTTATCAAATACAAAATAATAAAAAATAATTGATGATTTAACTGCATAAAGGCCAAAATTTAAATTTAATTCGTAGTGTAAGTCCGGTGCTGACACCTGATATCCGCTTTCCTGGTGTGGAAAGTGAGGTATTTTGCGTTGTCAGACAAGGCTTATATATAAAATTAATCTAAAGTTAGTTTGTTACATATTTTCTTAAAAATGATAAAAAATATAAAATTGACTAGTTGTAAAATCTTCCAATTGTCGATGATTTAAAGAATATTTGTGAAAATCGGTTCAGTCTAATTTGACATACTGATCTGCGCAAACAGACAGATATTTGTGATTTAAAAGAAGTTTGTTTAAAATTCTCTGTCAAGGAGAAATGAGTTCCAAATGAAAATTGGATTTGCAAAATTCGGTACGTGTTAATAAAATTGACAGTCACTTCCCACAAAAATATCATTCAGCCCATTAAAATTAAACGACTAAATTATTTGTGAACCAACAGATAAACTCAATTGCTTTGAACAAGCAATTTTGCATTAAAAAATCAAAAACAAATTACAAACACTTTGTGCTTCAATTATTTTTAAGTCACTTTATAACTTTTTCTTTTTATTTTTTGTTATTCCTTTTACTAATTTTTAACAAGAATAAAATTTATGGAAAAATAGAAAACTTATCTTAAATGAGGAAAAGAAAAACTATAGAACATAAAAAATTTTTGTAGTTTATTCAGTAATTTTTATTTATTATTTTATAATTATGATAGTTGTGTTTTTTAATCAATTAAAATCCTCTTAAAATTTAATGTTATTCAAAAGTTTAAAAACTTAAATAAATTTGCTTAGAAAAATATTGAAAAAATAAAATAAGATATCAAAATTAATTTTAATTTAACTTTTACAACCTTATACTTTAACTTTTTTTAAATTTATGTGTTAAAAAAAGTGTTCAGCCTTTAAAATATGGTTTTTAAGTAATAAATTAAAAATGTTTCAAATTATAGATTACAATGGTTATTTAAGTGATTCTTCTATATTTTACATATTTCCAGGCAATATAACACTGGTTTGCTTTATTTGGCTTTATTAAATATGAAAACATCTTTGGATATCAATTCTTCAACATTCTTTGGACATGTTCGTAAATTCTAAGCATAAAATGTAAAACAACATTTTAACTTAAAAAAAAAATGCTTACGATTTGAAACAGATTTTAAGAATATTTCAATTGTATTGATAATTATTCAAAAAATTCTCAAATTTTTATCATTTAAATTCGCTTTTCACATACATAATTAATTAAATAATTCAAATGTTATTGCGTCACGTTCTTTGACTAGACCTAATATTTGGTTTACTACTATTTTTACGCTTTGATGACATCAAAGGTGCGCAACCACCTCCAACACAAGCAGCGCCGCCAACTCCACCATTGCGTCCTGGCTTATTTGTCCTACAAAGTAATAGATTCCAATAGGCTTGACGGTATTCTGATGACATTACAACATAAATAATTGGATTGATACATGTTGTTAAATAAATTAATAAATATCCCATAATATTGACAATATGAATTTTTGTAACATCTTTCCATATTTTGGTAACCGTTATTGGTAAATAACAAATAACAAAAGATAAAAATATAACTAATATCATTTTTAATAATCTTCGATCCTTTTGACTCATTCTTCCAGGATATAAAATTGATGCTGCTGATGTATTATTCAAAAATGTTGATGCTTTACGTTCAGATTTATTAGTTGTTAAGCGATTGATAGAATTTTTTATTGATTTTCGTATAAATCGACGCCTGAAATAGAAAAACCAGCAGAAAAAAATTAATTCTTTGTTTCAAATTTAATGCATTAGAATAAAATTGTATTTTTATTTAAAATGCCAACTTATTCTTTACAGCTATAGTAGCTTTCCAAAACCAAATTATTTTAATATTCACAGTTACATTTGTAAACATTTAAACATTTTGAGTTCCAGCTTCTGTCAAATAGGTATTTCGCTACAAATCAAGAAACAGTCTTCAATAAAAAAATTTGATCTTTTTCAAAAACTTTAAAAACAATGCCAAAGCAAAGAAAAATTGATACAAAAGATGAAACTTTGATTGTTGGCATGTTAAAATATGGCTTTTTATGGATACGCAACAAATTTTACTACAACAAAAGTGCGATGGGAACTCACTTCTCCATGGTAGGGAAACCTAAATAAACTATTTTTAGCAACCTGTCGGTCTATCGATCTGTCGGTCTATAGGTTTGTGTATGTGCGCGTGTACCTTAAGTTCAGCTAAAACGACTTTTGGAATATATCAGGCCTTGGAGACTGAACTGGAACGTATGCGAAATTTCCTAACTTTTGGAAGATATCAGGTGTCAGCACGTTCACTATATTTCAATTCGGGGTGTTAAACAATGAACTTACAAATTTTTGAAAAGACCAAGACTCGGAGACTGATCTGGGGGCCAATTTTAGATTTTTGTCATAATTCGGACGGCATAAAATGAAATTTTACTAAGAATCATATTTACATTTTTCTAGGTATGTTAACTAAAAGCTTATTAGTGTCTTTAAAATTATAAAGAAGTGTTTAAAGCACATTCTCATAATCTTCCGAAATACTTTTACTAATCTAGACAATAGCCTTGCGGTCGGTTATGTGCTGAGCAGATCAGATTTTTTTGTATTTAACTTACACCTTTAATTTACAGGATTATAAAATTTTTACTAAGCACGGCAGAAAAATATTTAAAAATTTTATTTTTAGTCAGGCGACGATTAGACGCCCTTATTCTTTCCAAATTACATCTGAGCTGGTTTTAGAATAACCGCAGAATTTTGTCGAACTGGGTAGGAAGAATGAAGTTGTTCCATTGAGGGTCCCGACTTAAACAGCAATGAGAAGGCTGATGGTCTTGCAAAGGAGGTCTGGAAACGCTGTTTTAATCCCAGAGCCTGTTTTTGGTTTGTCAAAATACTATATATGTAAGACAAATTTACAATTTCTGAATGTCTTTTCTGAGTGTCCTTTTGAAAAAAAAATGTTAAAAATTATATCATATGAACTAAATAATGTTATTCCAAGTTTTTAAAAATTTTTGAAATATATATTATTTATTATAAGTAGTATGTGATGATGTGTATTTCTAACAAAAAATTTGTGTTTGTGTTTTTCATAAATATACGCACTCTTAAAAATGCTTTTTATTCAAGCGAAATTTCTATTTTTCAGTTTTTTAAAAAGAATATTGGGTCAAGTCAGAAATTATAAATTTACTATTTGGTTTTTGTACCTACTTGAATATTTTCATTTACTTTGTAATTTTCAGTATATTTTTCTTATAAACTGAAAAGTAATCAAGTTGGGTCAAATCAATGGTTTGTATTGTAGCACTTTTCCCTTCAACAAGTGAAAATGCTGCTTTTAAATACAGTCTACGTATTTGTAGATTTGTATAACGGGGCAACAGTGCACTGCGACCAGTATAAGGATCTATTGTGCGCCCCCATCCGAGTGCGGGGCATGCCCTACAACACAAGCTCGAGACCCACCCTCCTGATGAAGTGAAGCAACTTGTGGTGAACTGAACCAGAAGACCGTAACTTCGCCACCGTCAGAGCAAAGCCTCCCAGCAACACCCCCCTCCTACGAACAAGAGCGTCACACTTCCCCAGGAGGTGCACCGAGGTCTCTCCATACTCCCCACAGAATCTGCAAGCATCCTCATTTTCGTTCATATAAAATTATTTTCGTTCATATACGAATTTCAATTCTATTTCTAGAATTGCAAACATTTAGGATGAACGATCTATGCAGTCTTTTAAATAAAGCTAAATTAAATTTAAAGAAGGGTTAACATAATGCTCGATTTTAAGGGTTAATTGTGTGATTTAAGAAAAATAATTATGTTTTTTAATGGCATGGAATTTACCGTTAGCTTTCAGCGTTTATAGAAATAATGAAAAAGCTTGTGGTTTCGGAAATAAAGGATGCCAAATATTTAGATTTTATAAGTTTCTCGAGCTGATAACTTGAGAGGGGAAAAAATTTCCTTCTAACGAAATAAATTATTTGTGAAACTAATACGTACTTTTTTCAAAAATTTTTTGGTTAAATTCAAATTTCTTATCCAAAAAACTGCAAATTTAGAATTTAAAAAGCTGGAAAGCAGAAAAAATAAAATGTTTACGTTTTTTGTATGAATTTCTAAGTCTATATAATAGTTTCTGGTATTGTTTAGGAATATTTTAATTATTTGTTTTCGATTTCTAAGAGTTGTATTACAGTAGTTTTTTGTTCAAAATAAAGTGGACAAAATTTATTATTTTACAACCTTTCAAAATGTAAAAAAACTCACTTATTTTGACTTTTTTCAGGTGAATCTAATGGCAATTCCCCAACACCAGATGTTGATGATGGTTCAATATGAATTGGTTCACCTGTATCAGTAATGCCGCCACACCTTTCACCGTTTTTACCACTACTACTATTTGTAATGTGATAGACATTGTTACTGCTGCTATTTATTAAACTATGAGAAACCGTTTCATATGCTGAATCGTCATTTTTTATTGCAATATCTTTATCATCTCCACTAATATCTTGCTGTATCGACTCAACACCTGGAGTACCTTCACGTCTTTCCCAATATTTATTATTATTAAAATTTCCGGAAACAGAATTATTTTGTGATGGATTTAAACTTTCAACACTTGTATCAATAAATTTTAAATCTTCTTCACGTAATTTTGTTAAATACGGTCTTATTAGGGGTATCTTTTGTTGCTGATGTTCCAGATTTTCTTTAATAATATTGTGGTGATTTTTATATTGTTGTTGCTGTTGTTGTTGTTGGTTATGCAATGATGTCATTAGAGGTGGTGCATAACCACTACCGGTACTAGTGCCACTGCCACTAGCTCCACTGTTTGATGTAGCAGATGATGATGACGTTTCTTCTTTTGATCCTTTACCAACTTTTTCTAATAAGTGTCGGTCGGCATCTTTATTTAATGATTGCTGTGATTTACATAATATCTTCACAGAATTTGATGTTAAAACGGGATCATGACTTTTCATTGCTGTTTTTCGAACAATATAAAATATTCTGGCATAACAAACTATTATAAATATGCATGGCACAATGAATGCCATAACAAAGAAGAATTCTTTTGGTGTAACACCATTTTTGTCCGGTAATATAGTACATGAACCAATTTCTTTATCTAATCCGAAACGACCCCACGCACCACGCCAGGTTGGTATCAATGAAAGAAATGCACACACCCATATTGATATTACCATAACACCCAGTTGCCAACGTCGATATATTCTGCAAATAGTTTGAAAATTTAGATTTTTATGAAAAAAATCAGGTTAATAAAAATAATTTTGATTTAAAAAATTTAATTATTTTATGCATTTCATCATATATACGCAACTACAGGAGCTTGAAAATTAATTATCTTAAAAATTAAGATTATACAACAGGAAAGATTAACATGCTTGGTATTGCAACTTTATAGTAATTATATGTATACGTTTTTATTTTTATGACATCTTATGAAATGTACATAAGTTCATCTTTACAATTAATATAACCATATAGCTTTTCATTTATTAAAATCAAAAGGGAGAGAACTAATTGATTGGCTAGCAATTAATCAAACTGCTAGGCGACTAATAAATGACAATGTGTTAAAATTATGTAAATTGCCAAAATTTCAACAATGATGAGGAAAACCCTAAAACCCTAAAAATGCCATTTTTGAACTATTCAGTGCAGTGAAACCATAAGCATTTTTCAAATTTTAGAAACGTAGAAAGACAGCGGCTTGTTTCCCCTAGCGCGGTATACTATAGTTAAACTTTAGAAAAACAAAATGGCCGTTCAAATTTACCGTTATCAAAAGTCTTTTTTCCAAATTTTTGATGTCGTTTTTATTCTAGACCCCAGCCTGTAGAAGCTTGAAATTTTAGGAGCTTTTATACACTAATAAATGCTTCATTTCGTTAGAAGAAAATTTTTTTCTATCTCCACCCCCTCTCAAGTTATCGTGTCTTGTTATATTTCCGAAACCGCAAAATTTTTAAAATTTCTATGAACGCAAAAAGCTAACGGTAAATTCCATGACATTAAAAAATATAATTATTTTTCTTAACTCACACAATTAACTCTTAAAATCGAGCATTATGTTAACCCCACTTCATATTAATTTTTGCTTTATTTCAAAGACTGCATAAATCGGTTATCCTAAATATAGGCAATCCTAGAATTAGTTTCGTTTATGAATGAAAATAATTTTAATAGTGTAGTGGATATACATAGACTGTATTTAAAAGCAGAATTTTCACTTGTTGAAGGGAAAAGTGCTACAATACAAACCATTGGTTTGATCCACCTTTATTATAATGTAAAAAAAGTTTAAAAAGAAACGGCAAATCCCTTGAAGCCAGCATAGAATATGATTTATATGCTGCAACAAAAGTTGTTTCCAGCATAAACCAAAAAGTAATAATATTTTTCTACCCATTGAATTTTTTGTGTGAAATTTTGTACAAAATGTATATTTATATAATTTTATTAAAACTGATATTTTTTATTTTGTCCATTAATTGAATAAAAATTTGAATTTTGTAAAAAAAAATGTTTCTCCACAAATCATACAAATTTATCATTATTTCGTTCTTTGTTGCTAGGGGATGTTTAAAATTTTATACTAATATTGGTAATGCAAATTTTCATGAAAATTTACGTTTCGTTAGACGATTTGTAAAATGTGAAAATTTTTTTTTTTTGTTTTTGAAAAAAAAATATCTCGCGGCGTTTTTTTTAAATATAATTTTTTTTAGACCAAGTAATTTTCGGTGGCGAAAGTGCAATAAAAAAGTGCAGTAAATAAAAAAATCTGATGTGGTCAGCACATAACCGACCGCAATGTATATTATCTAGATTAGTAAAAGTATTCCAGAAGATTATGAAAACGCGTTTTAAACACTACTTTACAATTTTACACTAATAAGCTTTTATTTAACATACCTAGAAATGTGTGAATTTGACTCTTAGTAAAGTTTCATTTTGTGACCTCCGAATTATACGAAAGGTTCGTTAGTAACTTCTGGTGACAACCAGAACTCAAATATTAAATTTCAAGATAAATTGCATCAATTCGTTCCGTAGATATGGTAAAAAATTGAAAACTGGCACCCAAATCAGTTTCCAACCCCTGATCTTGCCAAAAATTTTATAGATTCATTGTTTTAACACCCCGAATTTAAATATTAAATTTTAATGAAATCGATTGATTATTTCTCTTTATGCAAAAAAGTATATTTGGCCTGTAGCAAACGTATAGTTTCTGCACTTGATTTCTTCCAAAAGTTAGGACGTTCCGCGTATGCAAAATTTGTTGCCATCACATGACCTATCTTAAATGTGCACACAATGTGGTCGGTAAAAATATACGTAAGTGAAAAAGTGGTTTGTTTTTTTTTTTTTAAGTTAAAAAAGTGTGGCCGTAATATGAAATTAAAAAAAATATTTATCGTTCGATACAGTTAATAAAGTTTTTTATTATTTTCTAAATAAGTATAATACAAATAAATATAAGTAATATATAAGGAGAAGAAGTGTTCGTCAAAGTTTAACGAAATTTATACATTTTTCTGGTCAATGATTTTTTGCACTTTGTACTTTTTTTTCTTTTTAATTTTATTTAATTTGATTTGGTGTGTATAATCTGTAATATAGTTAACTACATTATAACTACATATTGTGATTTAGTATTATAACTACATTATAAATATTTAATTTAATATTATAACTTTATTTATTAAAATCTTTAATTCATACCATGTTTTGTAAATTATAAAATTAAGTATGTATAAGTAAATAGTATGAATGAATTTTAAAATTTTTAATTTTTCAGAAAGTTAAAATTTTTGTGGTTTTAATAGTATTAAGCAATTGTAGCTTTAAAAAATAATTCACGGATAAATAATTTGTGGCATTTACACTATTTTTTTCAAAAATAATAATGCCATATATCTTATTCTCTTAGTGTAAGCAAACTTTGCAATAATATAGGGAATAAAGTATGAAATAAATAATAATAATAACGAGAAAAATAGAGTTCACCGTGTCAACTCTGTAATACCCGTCACAAATATGTCATACCTATGGAACTATGAAATAGTCTATCACTTTAAGGGTCCATATTACCATATTAATTTATGCAAAATTTCAGTACTGCGTTTTCAATATTTTCTGAGATACAGCCAAATAACTTTTGAAATTGTATGGTAGCTACCAGAAGGAGCCAAGCAATTTCGACGACGTTTATCAAACACATTGGTCCTACTAATATATTCACTTGTGTGAAATTTCAATAACACAGTTTTTATAGTTTTTGAGATATAGCCAAATAACTTTGAAAATTGTTGCTGTCAAAAAAAGTGATAAACAGAATCCTCATTGAAAAAAACTTCTACACAAAAAAATTATCATTGCCAAAACTTAAATTTAAGTCATTTGTGTTAAATTTTGAATAATAGTTCCTGTAGTTATTTATTATTGTTATTTTTCTAGTTGTCTGTTATTATTATTCATATAATTTTTTTTAACAATGAATAAGTGTTACATATTGTTCTTATGTATTAGTTATAACAAAAAATTTAATGTGATCAACACACCATATGTATTAACTAGTTTAGTGAATTTGTAACAGAAGATTATGAAAATGCATTTTGAACACTTCTTTTCAATTTTGTGAAAGTTAGCAAGGTTTTAGCTGACATACCTGGAAAAGTGTAAATTTTTCACATTACTCGAAGCCACTGAAAAGTTCACCAGCGAGTTTCGATAATAACCTGAACATCAATCCGTTCCGTAGATATGGTAAGAAATATAAAATCGATAACCAATATGGTTTCCGAGCCCTCGAGGCCTACTCTGTAGTGCCACTTTCGCTAAAGGATTCACGCATTTTAAATTTTGACACTCCGTGACTTCAATAATGCTTTATAAAAAGTTTAAGTACGGTATTAATATGATTGTATTACTGTCTCAGAGCTTTCAATACCTTTTGATACAATTTTACCAGATTAATACGTACTTTGACGTTTGCTTGAAAATTTTAATTTAAAGCTCTGTGCAAATATTAATTTTTAACAAACGTTACCACTTCATTAAAAACATAGTATTTTTATGCTGCATTTTGCGAAAAAACTTTGGTATAAGAAATGCGTGCTCAATTTTTTCGATACCCAATTTACTTTTATTTTACGTCTCCATTACGTATAGAACGCATTTAAGAAAAGTGTACAATGTCAACAGCTTTTACTACACTTTTTGGAATGTGATACTTTGTAAAGTTTACGTATTAAGCACATCACGGACTACATATGTAAATCGAATATTGCAAATTTGTGTATGCGAATGTAGCAAAAGTGGCTTAAAAGTTTTTTGTTATCCATATTTTTTTAAAATATTAACAATAATTGCCTACTTAATACACATACATTTACATGTACATTTATATATTAAGGAGGTGATTTTACCACCGAAAACTCGACATCCAAAATTTGGTGCTACCACACAGAGACGGATCTCTCATATATGCCAAGTATGCATTTGCAATTCTAAATTAAAAAAAAAAAAGAATTTTTTTATCCAAAACAAGGATTTTTTTATATATTTATCAATTTACAGCGAAATTAACTTGAAAAAATGTACCTATATACAAACATAATAGACCTTTTCATAAAGACAATATTATGTCGTGACATGTAGCGAGCGCTCCGATATATCTGTGTTCATAAACAAATGTTGCTAATCAAGTTTGTTCGCAAACATTGCTAACCTATCACAAAAATATGTATGTATTTTTTATCATGGCTAGTGCAGTTTTCTTTTTTCATTTTTTGTTCATGAACACAATACATACTGGAAATTGAAAATAGAAAAAGTTTTTAAACAACTGTTGAAAGTATATTGCGTATGTAACATTATTGTTATGCAGTATTGAGTTTATTAAAATGCCTAAAATGTCAGTTACGCAAAACACTAAGTATTGATTGATCTACGTATATTTTTCTTTCCATACTACAAAAAATGTTCATAGAATTAAAATTATTCATACACATTTTTGCTCTACATTACTCTTTCATTTTCATTTATTGTACGAATCATAAACTCCTATAATGTAATATATAAAGATATCTGTTGTACTACAGAGCCTTTAGAATAAAGATGTCCGTGAAGATACGCAAAAAATAAAAATATTCAAAAATACACATGTACACATAATTTATATTGTCTAATATGTATAAGATCAACACTCATGCGTACACATATAACTATACCACAAAGCAAGATTTTTATTATGCTGAGTGAGCGACCAGTCAACACATGTCCTATATTTAAATATATACGAGCCTTTAAATTATTTAAATTATTGTTTCATATATGCAAAATTTCATTTATGCTGAGTTGTCGGCTGTCGCCCAGTCAACAAACAAACTTATATACATTATTATAATGTATTACATTTTCTGTATACTATTGCATTAGTAAAAAATAAGAACAAAAAAAAACAAAAATGTAGAATGAGAATAGAAAGAAAATAGCGAAAGAGAATGAGAACAATATTCTAAATAATGGAATACATAGTTTTGTATTGAGATGTGTATGCCAATATTTTTTTATCGACCGTATTGTGTATACAACAGGTAGGCCATGCGATGGCAACAAATTTTGCATATCGGTCTGTTGGTCTGCCGGTCCGTCGGTCTGTCAGTCTGTCGGTCTGTGTGTACGCGCGTGTATTTCAAGTTCGGCTGAACTGATATTGATGAAATTTTATATGTAAGTTTATTTCGAGTGTGGCACGGATTGATCAACTTTTGGGATATATCAGACTTTGGGAACTGCAGTTTCTAGCGAACCTGTTTTACATTTTTGATCATTTTAAGGAAAATATTCAAGCGATTTACTTGAAATTTCATATATAAGCTTTGCTCGACCGTCCGCGAAATTTCCTAACTTTTGGAAGAAATCAAGTGTCAGCAACTGGACGTTTACTACGGGCCAAATATAAATTTTTGCGTATACAAAGAGAAATAATCAACCGATTTCATTAAAATTTAATATTTAAATTCCTCGTATTAAAACAATGAACATATAAATTTTTTGGAAAGATCAGCGCTCGAAGACTGATCTGCTTGCCGATTGTACATTTTTTACCATATCTACGGACCGAATTGACAGCATTTCTTGAAATTTGATATTTGAGTTCTGGTTGTTGCCGAAACTAACTGGTCAGCATTTCGGAAATTTCGCACAAAGCGAAACTCTACTAAGGGCCAAATTTATATTTCTTTCTAATTTTACTAATACACTAAGAATTGGAAAGATATATTTAAAAGACATTTTTATAATATTCTGTAACACTTTCACTTAACTAGACAATACACATTGCGGTCGGCTATGTGCTGATCACATCAGATTTTTTATTTAATAACCAAAAATTTTGAATGAATTTCAATTAATTTTGAATTAGTTACATGATTGTTATGAATTTTTACTACCACGTTTTGCTTTCGTATGAAAAAATTGTTATCAATTACAGAATTGAATAAAAATTGGCAATATCTACTGCTTATATTGAATTGAAGAAATTTTGCTTAAGAATCAAGTTAAGAATGTTATGTTGAATTGAAGTTGTATTTATCACACAAAAAATAAAAATAAAATGAAATGGTGCATAATTTATTTCATACATTTATCTCCAAAATTAAAACAGTCTGAGCGATTTTCCGAAATTTCAAAACCACAATTTATCATAAGCTCATGTAGATAAAAAATATAATGAAAAATATAAATAAAAACTTATGAAACGTATGAAATGCAAAATTGCACAAAGTTAAAATAACAAATAAAAATTAAGTTTCCATTGCAAATATAAAATTTCGTAATGTATACAATCATTTAAGTATACAAGTAAATAAATTTTTACTTTCTTTTATATTCAACTAAGTTTTGAAAAAGTTCGTTTATTGATATTATTTTTTTAGAGCAGTTTATAGTTTAGTTTTACTTATGCCAAAAAGTAAACTTTTGGTTGTTAAAACCAAAAATTCAAGTTTAAATTATTGAAATAAATCTGATCATAATTATATAAAATATAGTTAACTAAATTACCTTGTTGTTGAATTTATAAAACAAAAAACTGAAAGTTTAGTTCCGGGCTTTAATTCTATAATTAATGCTGCATTTAGCATGGTAAGGTTACAAGAGAGGGATTTATGGTGCCCAATATGCTGTGCTAATTACATTTTGTTCTCAGTATTAAAAGAGGTGGAACGATGCAAAGGGGCGCACTTTTTAGAAACCGTTTAGGACGACGAATAAATCAGATCCGGGCCTGCCAACACATAACCTACCTCATGGTATACAATGCGGTAGGTAATAAATGAATCGTGAAATGGCTCGTTTTTATTTTACTTTTTCAAATGTAGTTCCAAAATTCATTTCGGTTAAGCATTCCTGATCTAATTTAAGATCCCTATGAACACTCCTGATCTAATTTAGAATTTTTTCCTTAGACTAGAATTTAAGCTAGTGCAGACCTTACGTCAACTTCAATTGCACGACTAAAATTATATTGGCTTAGTAACAATAGACCGGTATTCGAAATATTAGATATATTATACAAATTATATATACAAATTAGAAATTGTTTGTAACCGATTTCTGATTGGTTCTCCAATATTGGGTTAAGAAACGTAATTTAAATATAAATTTTTATTAATCTGACAAGTTTTCGTATATATGAATATATGTATAACATATTTCGCTTTGAATGGTTGTTAATTAAATATTTTATTTAAAACTTTACCTTTTTATAAAGTTTTGCAGTTTCCAACATTGAATTTGAACAAAAATTCTTTATTTGTTTCCTCATTCCGTTTACTCTTCGGAGGTTTAAGAAAATTTTTAAATAAATACTCGTAAGAAGCAGATAATCATTTGATTATTTCGTTCTAATTAATTATTACAGACTACAGTCAATGAAGGGTTTTTTAAAATGCTTGAAATTATTTTTTAAAAACGTTTTCAGTTAAAACAATTATCAAATTGCAAATGTGTTATGATACATTCTTCTAATTGTTGTACCAGTTTTGTATATAGGTACACATATAACGTATATACTTGTAAGTAATTAAATTTATATTTTTATTAAGTTTGCAATGTCAGCAATCGCATTAATAAAACAATAACGTAGAAAAGCATAACCATTATACAAGGATATCAACTTTCCTTTAATTTATTATTTATGTGGTATTATCATTAAAATGGCTTTTATTTATTAATTTAAAGGATTAAAAATTTATTCATTCTAGGTTTTGCATTTCAGTAAAAAATTTTTTATATTCTGTCATGAAATTTTCGGGTAAACTCAAGTAGTCAAGAATATAATAACTTTTATAATTTTAATGAGCTGATATCCAGATGTGAAATAACGAAAAAAGGTCCTTAACGTATTCTCCGATGTTGTATTTTTTTGTAAAATAAATTTTTATAAAAGTTAAACCCAGATGAAATTTCATTCGGTTTTGTTAAAATTTTTTGATTGAAATGTGTCACTTTTTCACAAGTATAATTAATAAGTATATATAAATGAGTAATAAATATAATAATGTATACATACGTTTCATAATAAAATTAAAGAACTTGTTCAAGGATGTGGTAAGTCTATGTTAGGAGAATGACTTAAATTTGCATTTACTTACTTTAAATTTTTATTTATTATATACATGTTTATACTTATAATAATTTTTAGAAATATTAAGTTATGCAAGCGGCTACATTTGGCTCATACTAAAAAAGCAAGCGATACATTGAATTTTGCAATAAAATTTCTCTTTAAGTAGAATTTGTGTTGCTTGTATATTAGAGAAACTAGTAATGTCAATTTTACTATTTTAGTTAATTATTTTTAAATTTCAAATTAGTAAAGTCAATTTTTTATATCTCAAGTTAGGCTGAATCGATTATGACGAAATTTTATATGTGAGTTTATTTTGGCAATGGCATGGATTGATGAACTTTTGGGATATATTAGGCCTCGGGAACTGGACCTTTTAACGGGCCTGTTTTAATCTTTTGATCATTTAGAAGAAAATATTCAACAGATTTACTGAAAATTTCACATATGAGCGGATTGTCCTAACTTTTGGAAGAAATCAGGTGTCAGCAACTGGGAGTTTACTACAGGCAAAAAATACATTTTTGCGTATATAAAGAAAAATAATCAATCGATTTAATTGAAATTTAATATTTAAATTTAAGGTATTAAAACAATGAATCTATAAACTTTTTGGAAAGTTCAGGGGTTGGAAATTGATGTGGGTTATCGATTTTACATTTTTTACCATGTCTATGGAACGGATTGATCTAATTTCTTGAAATTTAATATTTCAGTTCTGGTTGTTTTCAGAAGTTACTGAGGAACTTTTCGTTAAATTCGGACGGCACAAAATAAAGCTCTACTAAGAGCTAAATTTACATTTTTTTACGGTTGTTAACTAAAAGTTCATTAACGCCTTAAAAATTTAAAAGAAGTATGTAAAACGCATTTGCATAATATTCTGGATTACTTTTACTAATCTAATATAATTACTAATTTTTACTCATTAAAAATATAATTACATAGGTTACTTAAGTAAGGTTTCTAATATCAAAATAAAAAAATAATAAAAATATTTAATAAATTATTAAAATAAACATAATATTACTAAAAGTTATACAAATCTGGGTTATAAATAAAAGAATTCAGAAACAATTGATGTTTTGTCAAAAAGTTTAATATTGGCAATTATATTTAATTGTTATTATCGTGACATTTAAATATAAAATATGATTGTTTATAAGAATTCACCTTTGATATATTCTTGGATGTCCTATCATAACATAACGATTTATTGTAATAGCAAGTACAGTAAAATCAGAGACTGCCAACAAACCGTAACGCATTAATGGAAATAAACGACATAATGTTTCACCATGAATCCATGCATGTCTCCAAAACGTTGATGATGCTAATGGAAGATTAAAACAGCAAAATAATAAATCTGATAAGGAAAGATTTATTATGAATGCCGCCGTTGCGTTTCGAACCTGTAAGGAAAATCATAGAAAAAATAAAAATAAAAATTAAATATTAAAAAAGGGATCTCAAAAGCGTTTTATAAAAAAAACTTAAAATAAAAAGCTGTTTATCGACCCAGAGAAAAATTCTGGTAATTTGGTACTTTTTCCTGTTTCCTCGCTTTAGTCGCAAAAAATACTATTTCTTCAAAATTTAGTTGGAATATTGTAAACTTGATTCGGTAAAAAAACAAAAATTGATTTCACTATTGCTTCAAATCGAGTAAGTTATATATTCGAAATAAATTTCAAAATAAATATGAGACATAATTTTTTAAAATTTTTAAAAAGTTTTTGCATTTTACAATATGAATAATTGTTGTTCATATTCTTCCAACGAAGTGAGGCGATCATATTCGGAGGAATATTGAAATAATCTTGGTAAAACATATTTCAAACTTTCAACGCTTTTGTCTATAACTTCAGTAAATCCAAAAAAAGAAATGTAAACTAGCCTTTGAAAAATTCGAACTTATAATAAAATGAAAAAAAAAACACTAAACTCGTTAAGACGACAACTTTTCGAATAAAAACTTATTTGTTACACTTCATTGTCAAAATTTTAATTTAAAGATTCCAGAAATTAATGTGGTTATTGAAAAATTGCAAAGTTATTCCAAAACCTGTTTGAATATTTAATTTGAGTAGCTTTTAGAAAGAGTTCACCTACAAGCACAAGCATAATATACTACACAACTGTATCGAACCGTTGCAATCAGATTTATTGGAGTTATATAATTAGACAAGGGAATTTTTTGAATTCACATATACAGAATTTGAATTTTACTCTTATATTAACTTAATTTGAAAATTACTGATGTTGCCTTTTTTCTTGTTGTCAAAATTTTTAAATTTTTAAATTTTAATAACTAATTTCAGGTGATCTAGCGAGTTGGGAGTGAACTCGTTGAAAAGGTGTTGATGGCTGCTTTCCTTTTTTTTACACTTAAGTTTACTAAAGTTTTGCAATTGCGATCTGTGGGTACGTATGTCTTCCCCTACCTACCTTAATTTTATTTCGTTGTATCATATCCTGATATATCTCTCACCCTTAAAAAATTTCTAGCAATAAAAGTGGCACTTACAGATACAATGTATATGATATGATCATTTGTACAATGTAATATGATGTGAAAGGTGTTAATATTATACAATGAAATAAAATTTCATAGACCTACCTACCCGAAGATTATGAAAGTTTAGTAAACCTAATTTTAACTTTCTGTGTTAGAAAATCTAGTCAGTGGCGGCTTAAATCCTCTGGGGTGTTTGTTAAGGGGCTAGAGGGTTGGCCCTTACTTTCTATCCTAAAAAAATTTTTTATCATTAACAATTACTTGGGAATTAAAGAGGGCGATTTAAAATTTAATTTTCAGCTACAAAACTTGGTCGCAACCATTTATGAGTAGTATATTTAAGAGTATTTTTGCCAAAAACGGATTTTTTTGTTAAAGCAGAGAAATCTAGTTCTTCGAATAATGGACTTTGAAGCCTTAGGTGTACTCAACTGGATCATTAAAAAATACAATTTTTTCTAACCTTCTTAAATATTTATTTATCAGATTATTTGGGGAAAAATATTATAATTTAATTAAAGGGTAAATAAATATTAGGTAAGTATGAAGTGACTTAATCGTTTTAATTTGAAAAATGTTTTGCTTCATTTTCGAAATTTCCTTTTCGCCTTAAAGCTTATATGTATATTATGTGATAGAATTTTAAAAATATCCAGCATAAGTAGAATTGTTTTATAAAAATCACTAAAAATGGAAAATTACCGATGAAAATGTAGGGTTTAATGCAATTAATACGATAATTTATAACAAACATCAATCTTTCATTTTGTTTAGGCAAAGTTTTAATAACATAATTTCACAGAGGCTGCAGAAAGATTGATTCCCGACTCCTTTTAGTTCGTTATCCTAAAATTTACGTGCTATCCAGATTTAGAAAGATGACGCAGATTACATGACATAAAATAGTTTTTTTTTGTATTTTTTGTGCTATTATAAATTGTAAAAAAACATTATAATTATATAAAAATAAAGTTGGGTCAAACCAACGGTATACAATGCAGCACTTTTTCCTTCAACAAGTGAAGATACTGCTTTTAACGGGAATATGTAAAGTTGAAATGTTAACTTTGGGATACCCGTACGTTTTTAATAGTTCTATTATACTATAATTGTCACATTGGGTATAGTTGGAAAGTAATCGAGTAAATAATCGAAAGCACCGATGTGTAATCATGTAAAAATCACGTACGAAAATGCATCAATACGATAATACTTTAAAGTTTGGTGTCCAAAAATGTGAAAAATAAGCATCGTTTGCGCATCATATTAAACCAGCTGTGCATCAATTTTTCTGCGATTTTGTATTGATGCAAAAAAATTGGATAGTTTTTAAAATTGATATTTTTAAGTGATAAAAAACTTGATTATTTTTAAGTGGAAGCTGAGAAGCAAATAATTTATTATTTTAACTCAATAGCTAACAAGGTTATTATTTCTTTATGCACGGTATTCATATTTTTAAAGGTTCCATTATATTAAAATCTCCAAAACTTAATTGAAATTAAAAAAAAAATTTTAATAGATTTCCAGTTGTTAATAATTTTAATACTTTTATACAAAACCGTTTCAAAATAAACGCCAAAGTCCAAAATAGAAAGTGTCCAAAAAGTAAAAAAAATATTGCATCAGCAAGGTAAACGCATCACATCGGTATAGCATTAGCAAATGCTTTTTGCACCGACGCTACATTGATGCACATTTTTGATTTCTTTCCGATTATACCCATTGTTTTACACGACCTCTTGTATTTTATATAGTGCTATTTTAAACATATACATACATAATATGAATAAGGTAATTTCAATTGTTTCCATACGACCAAATGAGTTTTGAAATTGTAAATTGTAGGCAAATTTATATACGTTCGTACGGTTATAAAAACAATCTAAGAACATTATTTCATTCATATACGAATGTGAATATATCTTAAAGATTGCATACCTTTAGAATGACGAAAAAAAAAATTTAAAAATTGAAAGAGTCGTTAACATAATGCTCGAATTTAAGGGTTACTTGCGTGAGTTAATAATTATCCTTTTTTAATAATATGTTATTTACCGTCTTCAAATTTCGAGGGGTGATAATTTGGAGGGGTGGAAAAAACTTTCCTCTAACGAAATGAACTATTTATTAGTATCTAATAGCTGCTAAAATTTCAAACTCCTACAATAAAAAAAAAGGATTTTAGATAATTGTAAATTTTAATGTCAATTGTTTTTGTAAAAATTGCAAAATTTGAAAAATGCTTTTGGTTTTACTATAATAAACAATTAAAAAATGGCATTTTTAGAGTTTTGGTGGGCTATAACTTTTAGAGGGGGAGACAGGTAAAAATTTTTCTCTGCGGAAATAGCTTTCCTGTAAAGATCTACATATATACATATGAAATTTTTTATTTTTGTCTTTAGAGGTGTAGAAATTTTGTAAACATGTCAACGGGCGCATGGATAGATGAACGGAATAAAACTAATAAGCACTTTTTTTCAATTCTTTTTGAAAAAGTGCTAAAAATAAAGAAGTGGATAACTTTTCGTATTTTTGTGTATGCAGATTTTTTTTTAAATTGATTGAATACATTTTATTCCTTTTAATTTTTTTGTTTTATTTAGAGTACGACAAGAAACGATTGCAAATAATAGTTTCCTAAACAAAAGAGAAAGAATCAAAATTCGAAAGAAAAATATAAAAATTCAAAGAATCGTTTTTTGTTGTATTTTTTTTTTGTGTGTGACTGTTTTTTCCTATATGGCTTTCGGTGTATTTTTTTTTAAGATTAAATTTTAATATTCCAAAAAGGTTCATGAACTCATAGTTCAATTAACGGTTCATTGAACATAATATTTTGCTAATAAAATAAAAATTATTCTTATCATATTTGAATATTTTTACTAATTTATTATAACATTTATACTGCAAGAGGAAAAAAACAAAAATTTGAGATACAAATAAGATATTGAAGCTTCTTTAAAAATGCAATTGTGTATATATAGTGTTCTTTTAAATCATGCTAACCAGTCTTTCAGAATTTTATACTAGGTGAGAACAAATTGTAATTAATTTTGTTTTCAAGTAATGTTTTTTTTAGCTTTGAAGGTATGAATCGTACATAAACTATTCTTGTGTGAAATATTGATGTGACTTTTAAATTTTGAAGTTTATTACCTGAACAAGTGAGTCCAAGTTTCTTTGTTTAACATAGAAAATTAGAAACGTTAATTTTGGAATAATAAAATTGTCGAATTAATGCGGATTTATTTAATGTTTTATTAATTCTTATTAAATTATCATATTGCACCCTGTTCAAGTAAATCTTTAAGGTACACTTGTGTTTAATTTAAATTTATTTCCTTTCTGGCTGTTTGTTACATATGTATATGTGCGAAGTTTCGTACCGACTATTAATTAATTAAGAAACAAGAATTTAATAAAAATACTTTTTTATAGGTTAAAAAATATGAAATCGATAACACAGGTGTTTTTTTTTTTAATATCCGTAACCTCGTACATAATACAACGCCGTTGGCATTATTTTCACTTTAAATCAAAAACTATTTTACCATAACGCCGTAGTGATTATGAGTTATAAAGCTCATTCGTCGTTTAATTGTATATTGTGTATAAATCCATATCTAAGCACACATAAAACATCGTTAAAGGGGCACCAATGGGAAAGGGTTTTTCACAACCCATAACCATTTATTTTTACACTTTTCAATAAAATGATAAATTTTACACGAAAAAACTATGGTATTCAAATAATTAAACGGCAACACATTGCTTTCCACATTCATGAACACCTTCTACATATACAATCTATGGAAATTTCAGTATGAAGCGACTAAAATAAATAAAATTCTGAAAAAAGTAAACGTTTGCATAAAAAAAAAAAAAAAA